TTTCTTCTTCTTCAAACGAGTGGGGCATTCTGAAGCAAAGTGGCCAAATCATTGGCATTCATAGCATTGGACTCTTTCAGAGTTCCCTTGCATCTTTCATTTCTCCTTCTTAGCTATAGAATTAATTTTGAGTTTATCTTTGCCTTTAGATTTATGAGTATGAGTATATTCCAAAAAATTGGGATTCTTTTTCAAGAAAGATTTTTTAAATTGTTTAACAAAAGCAGCCGTAATCTTGGAATCTATCTCACAATCCTCATCTGAATCCTTTCCAACTCTATGAGCACTACTAAAAGCAATAGTATCTTTTTGTTTCTTTTTGAAATTCCTATGTGCTTCATAAGTTTGGAGATTTCCAACCAAGTGATCCAGTTTAAGGTTGTCAACATCTTGAGTCTCCTCAATAGCCGTAACTTTTGGTTGGAACCGATCGGGCAAGGATCTCAAAATTTTTCCCACAACTTTGGATTATGGTATTTTTTTCTCCTAAATTGAAGCTGAAATTTACAATGTCACTCAACTTCGCATAAAATTCATCAAAGGTCTCACTATCTTTTATTGAAAGGTTTCGAAACTAGACATGAGCCTTTGAAGTTTTGAGCGTTTAACAGAAGGAGTACCCTCATGAATAGTTTGTAAGATATCCCAAGCCTCTTTTGCGACTTCACAATTGCAAATACGACTAAACTCTTCAGGTGCGATAGCGTAAAAGAGAGAATTGATAGCTTTACTATTCCAGCTACTATTTTGGTAATCAATTGTGTCCCACTTATCAATTGGTTTGGGAAAAGTTACTCCATCAACGGTAATTGTTGGTTCGGTCCACCCATTCATGACAGATTGCCAAACTTTTTCATCTATAGATTTCAAAAACGATCTCATCCGAGCTTTACAAAAAGAATAATTGGATCCGTCAAGTAGAGGTGGTCAAACCATAGAATTTCCCTCACGTATTGAATCCATTATCACAAATCAAACAAGATCTCGTTCTAAAAGAATAATTTTTTTTTAAAAAAAATAGAACGACCTACTTTGATACCAATTGAGAAATCTAGAAATTCCATAGATGTTGATTTGTAATTATGTATCAATTTTAAGCAATAAAACAATCCCAATCAAACAATCAAGACAAATCGACACAACGATTTTAACGTGGAAAAACCATAATTGGAGCACCTCCAATTGTGATAAAAAAAACAATGGGCAACAGCCACAAAACAATCCACTAAGAAGATATGAAGGAATTATACAGGTATACTCTCAATTACCTAGCGAATCCACGCCCGAATTGAACCAACCCCAATGTGCCTCTTCCAACCCCGTCTTCACCTCGGAATTGTCTTGACAATGAACCACTCCAGAATCCACCAAAGGTTCAGGCTTGAATTCTTCAGAATCCACCGAAGAACAACTCTCTCTTTTGTATAGAAAAACAAATAATCATTTGATGTATACTCTTTAAACCATGAGTTGAATACTCAATCAAAACATCAAAGAAAACTAGCAAAATATCCCCAGATATAAACCCTAGAACCCAATAAGAAGATTTGGAGAAGTAATCTTAGATTTGGAGCAACTTGCGAATTTATAGAATCTGAAATCGTGAGGTCTGCTCGAGCGTGGGAATGGACGCTCGAGCGGGGACTCTATATGACGTGTTCCGCACTAGGGTGTACGCTCAAGTGGGGAAATGAACGCTCGAGCGTGAAAACATGGTTCACAGTATTTTTGCAGACACGCATACTTCTGGAACTCACCAATCTCCACTCGAGCGGGGGAATGGACGCTCGAGCGGGGAGGAAACTTTGAATGCATTTTTGAATTTTGCTTCGGGGGCGCTGCCCCTCGACCCTGCGAGCTGACCGGGTAGCTCGGTCCCGTCATAATCAACGAAGTGGCAATCTTGAAAGTATTAACATCACAAACTTCTCTACAAGGCACAATTTGGGTTGGATTCGCATCTAAACACTCATAGCCTCACTGAAATAAAAAGTGCAAAAACAAATACAACTTAAAGGAGTTTTGTCATACGGGATTGCCAAGAATAAAAACCTAACAAGAGTAATTGACGGAACACACATCAAAGCATATATATCTCCAAGCAAGCAACCTCGTTTAATAGGTAAAAAGGGGTATGCGACTCAAAACATAATGGCCACATGTGACTTTGATATGTGTTTCACATTTTACTTACCAGTATGGGAAGGAAGTGCACACAATACTCAGATCTTCTTAGATACAATTAGGAATCCTAGTTATAATTTTCCAAAACCACAACGAGGTAACTGTTTTATATTTGATTGCTACAGTAGATGCATCACATTCACATCTTTATATATATATATATATATATTTTTTTTTTTCATTTATAATTGCTTACTTTATTTTATTAATATTTGAAATTTTAAAATAAATGAGTTTTACTTGGTGGATGCTAGGTATCCAAACATGAAAAGATATCTTGCACCTTACAAAGGAAAGAGATACCATCTAGCTGAATTTGAACATGGTCAACCCTCTTCAGCTGAATTTGAACATGGTCAACCCCCCTCAAAAAAAAAAAAAATGCACAAGAAAAATTCGACCAAGCACATTCATCACTTAGAAGTGTAATACAAAGAACGTTTGGTGTTTGAAAAGCCAGATGACTAATGATAAAGCATATCCCACCAAACTATAAGTGGCTGACCCAGTCAAACTTGTTTGTGCAACAATGACAATTCATAATTTCATCTGATAAAGTCAGTCCCGCGATATTGCATTTGACTCTTATGATAAATTCATGGATTATGTGTCTAATGAAGAGGAATGATCAAGGTTTGAACAAGCACACCATGCAATCAGGTTGAAGGTGCTGACAATGAGATAGAAGTGAAGAGACATAACATTTGTATGTCAATTTGCAGACGAAATTAAGAGTTGTTTAATATGTAGGAAGTTTTATTTTTATTGTTTTAATAGTAATTTATTATATTTTTATTGTAATGGCATTTTCTTGTTCGTTTGTGAAGTTAATATTAAAAATAAAAAATAAAAAAATGAAAAAAACTTGAGGTCATGTAAAAATGTACCAATATAGACACTAATTATATTAATTTCTATTAATGAAATAACTTTTTCAAAATTTAAAATGAATAAAATGATAAAATTACAATTTTTATATTCATAAGGGTAAAAATAACAATTACACAGTAAAAAGTTATTTTACAACTTATTTATCAAACACTACTCTGCTATTTAAATTCATAATTTCACAGTTACACCAAACAGATTATCAATTTATATTCACACCTATAAGCTAAAATCCTTTAAATTATAATCTATAATCACTTTTTCATAATTTTACCAAATGAGCCTAATGTTTAGAATCTTTATTGCAACAAGTCCAAGGCTGGAAATGGGGGCTGAGCAGTACTCTGTATTGGGAGATATTATTCAATGCTCTAAGGGCACTATGTGCCATGTGGTGCTCCTTACCAATCAAAGCAGCCTCCCAACCTGTTTGCCAGTTGATCCATCCCCATCAGCTTAATTAATTTAGCAAAAAATATCATTCTAATGGATGTCAAACATTAAAAGTGTTTGCGGTTCGATTTTGGACAGTTTGTGGATTGGTTTAGATTCGTTCGCATATATATATAGTTTGGAAAAAATTCAATCCACAACCACTCACAGTGTAGATTGCGGTTTATGCGGATAGAATTCGCAGATGTGCAGACGCTTTGCAGATTGGACTTTTTTCAATTTTCAGATTTAATTTCAATTTTCAAATTCAATATAATACAAAATTGATTTCAATTTCAAAATAATTAACATATTCAATTTCAAAAGTAATTAACAAATTCAATTTCCCCTCCATGAAAAAGTATATTCAATTTCTTACAATGTTTACAGAGCAAACAAAAAACAAACCAAAACAAAAACATTTAAAAACAATGTTCTCAAACATTGTTCTCAAACAATGTTCTCTATAATATATTTTTTTTGTATCATGAAATTAGGGTTTGATGTGTTGGTCAAAAATATCAAGGATAGGATGAATGAAATCAACAGGTCTAGGTTTTTTATTAAAAAAAAATATTTAAATGCGGGCGGATTCTTGTGGGTGTGGGTTAAATCTTATCTGCAACCCGCAATTATGTCATATTTCAAACCGCATCCAACCACATTGTGTTTGTGAAACCACCTATTTGTATACGGATCGATTTGGGGTTAGGCGGGTTATACGGTTCAGATAACCCTACATCCACCCCTATCAAATAGAGTTCAGTGGATGTCCCCCGAATGACTATCTCTTTACAAAAATTTATGAAAAAATTACACTGACCAGTCAACCAGCCGGACATCCACTAGGTCATGCGTCTGGTCAACCAGTATTTTGATAAAAACTCAAAACTCTCCTTTGAAACACTTGATATCGAATAGAATTTTTACTTAAATTTTTATTCAAATTTAATGGAAAAAATACACCATTAAAGATGCTCTTAGACATTGATTTTAAACCAGATGAGAGAAATATTTCAGTCTCCTCTCTCCATCTCTTTCCCCTTCTCTTTGCATCTTTCCCCTCCCCTCACAGATCCTAACAACCATCAACCTGACAGAGACGAACCGTTGAAGAGAATGGAATGGTTGAGTGATTATGTCAAGGGTAAAATGGAAAGATGAACTAAATTATTTTAGGTCAAGACATCATGAGAATTAAGTCGGTCCAGAGATATGGCCCGTAACTCCCCCAACTAATTATTTTCTTAGGGAAAAAAATCTAACGATTTACATAACTTTAACATAATCTAACAACCATTTGTAAAATTACTTGGGAAAAAAAATCTAATGGTCTACATAACTTTAACATAATCTAACAACCATTTGTAAAATTACTTGGGAAAAAAGAAAAAAATAAATAAATACATTTAGAAATAACCCAGCACTGAAGACCTTCAAAAACATGGTTTACACTGATTGCATGGTTTATGAACCAATAATGAATTCTGAAATCAGATCCGTACTAAAAATAACAAAAAGGAAACTTGGATTTTATCTGGATAGAAACAGCTTATTTCATTACAAGTATTTAACAAAGCACATAATTACTAAGATTGTGCAAAAATAAAGAACACTATAATTGACCCAACTTCATATATAAAGAACAAATTAACAAGGGACTCCAAATCAAAAGATCAAATGAGTAAAATATGACTCTACAAAGCTGTTTATAATTATCTATGTTCGCACCCGAAACAGGTTAGGCTGCAAATAACACTGCTGCTGGATCTTCTTTGCAATCTGGAATTTCATGGTGAAAGGTAGAGAGAGAACTTATTAATTCACGTAGCTAATAAGAGCTGTCTAAAAAGTCAAAAGAAAATTCAAACTCAATAAGGTACAGGACAGAAGTGCAGTCTGATCCAGCTGGGTTCATGGAGGTCACAACAAATTTCATTTCAATGACTTAAGTTGTTTATTTTTTAGGACCTTATGAGTTGATCATTCATGAAATTTATAGAAAAAAAATTCAGTTGATCCAATAATCATCATCACATAATTGTATCGGGTCTATTTTTAAAAAAATTATGATTATGGAATAGACCATCAATTTCTTTTCATAAAAAAATAAGAAAATACAATCGTCATATCTTTTTTTTTTTTAATGATTTACAAAACAAAGTGAAACCCGTGAGACCCACGGATCCATCTGCACTTCATTCAAACGGGAGATCCATTACAAAAACTACAATTACCTCCACTGTAATTTAAATAATTCTTACTTATAAATTTCAAGATCCAACCAGACCCTTGTAGCGAGCATAGGAAATGATAAGTATAAAAATGCAGGTACAAAATGCCACAGTGACGATTACCACCTGGCAACAATAAGAAGAAGAACATTCAAATTAACCGAAATAAAACTTACATTCAAAATTTTATCAGTTAAAAAATCCCATCGCAAAATTAGACAAACTTCACGTGAAAGAGTTGTGTCTAATTTTGTGTGAATCGGATTTTGTGCACTTATATTCAAAATTGTATGCATACCCATTTAAACATGTAACCGTGGTTTGAGTTCCAAGTAAATGGGATATTCGCTCCAAATATTCCAGCCATCGTTGAACAAAGTGACACAGAAATACCTGCAGAGGTTAGAAGAAGCTCTAGCTGCACAAACAAAGTAAAATAATAATAATAATAATAAGATAAATTTATTGTGCCAACAATGTTTTCAAATACACAAAAACAGAACTAGAAATCAATGTATTCAATGTTGTATAAAGTACACATACTTGATACATTACCTGAATCAGCTGATTTCGATGATTGTCAAGCTGGGAAATGGAAACATGAAGTGTATTTAGAACAACAAAATTAAATCTAAATCTATTTAAATTGATCAATTAATTCAATTTTCATATTTGTTCCCATTTCCAGTTGATTACCTGAATATTAATGTAATCTTCTGTATCATCAATAAACTCGCGCAGCTGCAAAATTTAAGAATATAATTCAATTCTGATGATGCAATAAAGGGGTTTTCCAATCAGATATAGACAAACAAACAGATTATTTTGATGATTTCAATATGGAATGCCAAAGAATTTAGGCTACAATTTTAATTAGGGGTACCCACTTGAACTTCCTTTGGTTGTTGCTTGTTCATTCTAAATGAAATTACTACAATTAGCAGACGTTCATGGAGTAATTTGATAGTATGATAGCAAAATTTTAATTTGATAAATTTTTCAAGTTGTCGGATTAGCTGAAAAACCCATGTTCAATCCAAGACAGCTCAACTATCGCAAATTATAGCTATGTGGTAGCTGGTGGTAAATTTTGGCCAAATTCCTTCGTTTATGCCTTCAAATTTAAAATTTTACTATTTTTGGAAAATTATGATTAGTTAAATTAGAACTCTAGTCAAATTTCATTTTGAGTTAGAATTTTTTAAAGAAATTTCTTTTCATTTTAGAAGATTTTTTTTTCTTTCTATTTATTTATTTTTTGTGATCATGACATTATTAGGAAGTAATTACTGGAATCGTGGCATAGCTTGCAAAGCCACTTCTCCTGTAAATAGGATTCTAATAAGAAATTGAAACTAGTTAGCAATTGATTGTGTTTAATAAAAATTCAGAGAAAGTTTTCACTAATTTCATATTGCTCATCATAATTATATTGCCACAAACTGATAATCAACAATACAAATTGGTGAGCAGAATTAATTATAGAAATTCAATGCTAGTTATGCAACATACTGTATTCAATTTGTTCAAAGTTCCATCAATTTGCATGAAGTAAGCCTGCAAATATACCACCGAGACGTTAAAATTATGATAAGTCTAGCGACACAGAAAATGATTACTAAACCGGACACAACTACCTCACATGATATAGATTTCACACTCACATGATAGGTCTGATTCTATGATTGATTTATGTGCAAGTAGAAGAACTACTAAAATTAAGAGGACATAACAAACAAAGAAGTAGGTCAATGTTATAACCTCAAGTAGCATTTCAAGCTCCTCAACATCATTCTCGTCTCCACGAAATGTTGCCACACTTGCCCTACTTGCTCTAGATTTCTTCGAACCTATGGTAGGTGAAGCAGGACACGAATTGGCAGCACCCAAGCCACTAACAGGCGAAGATGGGCCTGCCAATTTTCTTGACAAGTAAAGATCAGCCATATCATCATCATCGTCCAGCAATTGTTCAAGCTCATCTCTCACCTACAGGTAGAAATACTAGTGAGCATAGGTCAAATTGATTTATAAGCACAATTATTATCGAAAGCACAGAATTCAGGACATCACGGGTCATTCAACATTAAAACATCAAAGCCGAATAAGAGACATCAATACTAAATGCAAATATGACCATGTTAGAAAAGAAAGGATTTTGATGATTTAAAAAAACTTGGAAGCTATGATAGGAAGTAGTTATACCTTTTGAACCCTAGCAGTTAAGCTTGTCATTGCACTCTTCAATTTACGAACCTGATCCAAGTTACGGGTACTAATCTACAAAATCAAATTTGTCATTTGGAAAATTAGGAATACATAACAAATACCAAGTGCATAAAAATAGACCAATGGAGGCATTCCCAGCTTTTTAAAAATAATAACAATAACAAGGCTTATGAAGATTGCATAACACTAATGGAATACATAGACACCTTCATTGAACAACAATTTTGTTAAAAGCCTTGAGCTAAAATGGAAAATACTCATTTTTTTGGAAGCAGAAATGTTCTAAGCTCTGCATAAAATTTTGAATTTGAATTTGATGGAACTTACTCAGCCTAAGAAGAATTTCATCGAAACTATTCACTTACACAAACAGGTAAACATGGTTTACCTGTTTAGTTTCGATCATTGAAATTTAATCGAAGAAACTACGACTGTATTTGGTTTACAAGAATGAAATTTAATCGAATATGTGAGGGTTAATTTTTTGATTAAATTTCGATCATTGAATATATACAAATAAGTTGTAAAAAAGTTTTTTTATATACAAATAAGTTCTTTTTTCTTTTATTTTAAGTATAAAAAAACCTTGTAAACTTTTTTAATGATCAATAAGGTCAATTTTATTTATTTATTTATTTTTTTTTTAATTTGTGTCTAATTTTAAATTCTATAAAATACTTTATTTACCCTTCTTATAATTTAACTATATATGAATATAAATAATTAACATATAAATAATTTTTTTAAAAATATTTTTAAATACATAATCCTAAATAAAAATTATTTTTTTAACATAAATAAAATTAAAATCACTTCTTTTTTTTTTTCTTGATGTTAACATTATGTCAAAATTGGATAAGGTTTAAAATTCGTGCACCCTTTAATTCTTTCAACTAATTGGTTTCAAAATAAAAAAAATATATATTTATAAATCTTCTATAAATTTTACCTTTCTTAGGGTTTATTCCTCTAATGTACCTTAAAGTATGTGATCTACTATGTTTTAGTCTCTAACCTTTTAAATTTTTTAGTCTTTAAAGTATGCAATCAATTACTCTATATACTTTAGCATCACATCGTCAAAATTAATAACGAAAGGCAGAATATTTTTGAAATTTTACATGAAATTTTGACAAAATAAAAAAGATCAAACACACAACATTCCAAGGTATGATTTTGTTGCATTTTGATCTCAAATCTAAATATGTCTGTTAAGGCTGTGTTTACATCATGAATTTAGATAAGAAAATGGTAGGTGAAACATAACTATATTTTAATCATATTTCACCTATATTTTCTTTTTAAATTTCTAAATACCTATCCAAATCCATTAACAAAACACAGTATAAAAAAAAAAAAAAAAAAATTACACCTTAGAAGTGAGTTCATCTAAAGCTGGATAAGCAGCAGTCTCCAGCTCTGTTGTACGAGCATCAAAAAAGCTGCAAATGGCTTCCAAAGCTACCTCCAATGCTCGAAATTCAAATGGAGATTCTATATAAACATTATTCAAATTATTAAAATATCAAATACCGCCCACACAAAAAATTAAAAAAAAAAATTATGAGAAAAAAAAAAGTGATTTTGAAATTATGGAATTGAGAGTAAGGGTTCTAGAGAGAAAAACACATTTTTAAGAAAGCTAAAAACATTGAGATCAAGATTCATTGTCATCTTTTTCTCCGCAATGATTTTATTATAATAATTTAATGGTCCAAGTTTAAAATTAAAGTAAAACGATTGTGGTATGTAGTTTAAATTTTTTTTATAAAAAAAAGAGGCAATATTTTAATATTATTTTTATTGGATAAATTATAGGGGAAATTGTGAATCAATTGCAAGACTAAAAAAACTTACAAAGTGATGGAAAAATTTATAATTTCAATTATTAAAGTTAATAAACTTTATTATTGATTTAAAATTTATTTTGGAAATATGGGCTGAATTGTAATTTCTCCTAAATTTTACTAGTAATACTTGTAATTTACATTGTGTCAATTTGGTTTATATACTTTCAATTCTATCAATTTTTTTATCTTTAATTTTTTATATTGTGACAATTTAGCCTAATTAATAATACCAATTAAGAAATTAGACAAAAAGTTATAGACAAAATGGTCCATTCAAAGGAAAGTAGATCATTTAAAATTAGACATCAACTCTCAAATCACTTTCAAGATAGTGAAATCCTTTATCCGTTGACTTCTACCTAATTTTTAAAGGGGCATTAACAATTGAACTAAATTTATACATTAGGAGAAATTCAAGAATAAAATAAACTAGATTGACACCCAAAAAAAAATAAAAATAAATAAATAAACAAATTGCGTGAACTGTGAGTGTAATTTTCTCTATATTTTATTTTAATTTTAAACTTGAACTGTTTCGTTATATTCTTTGTTGACGTATTTTATTCAAAATCATTCCAGGAAAGAATGTCAAGATGTCTAAAGAGGGGACTTCTTTTTGTTATTCTAATTAACTTTTTTTTAAAACTTATTAAAAAAGGGAAATAAAAGGGAAATTATAAATAAAAATAAAAAAACCTCTAAAGTTCAAGGTTTGTAACAAAATAAATCTTGAATATTTAATTTTATCAATTTAAATTATAATTTGTGATTTATTTTCAATCTAAACTACTTGTTTATTTCTGTTTAATGAAGTTGACAAAAAAAATAATATTTTAATTATTATACTCAATATAAGTGTACCAAAAATATCTAAAATATCTTTTTCTATAAGTTTTACTTAATAAAAATAGACAATTGCTTTAGATTGATTTTTTTTTTTTTTTAAAGATTAGAGTTTAAATTAATAAAATTAAAAATTATTTTATTACAAGATTCAAATCTTGAGGTTTTTTTGTAATTTTTCCTAAAAAATGAAGATAAAGGTTGGTTTGGGAAGTGGATTGGTTTTTTGACTTTTTAGCTATTTTGACTATTTTAGCCTGGGCTAAAAAGCTTGGTTTGAGAAAGGTTTTTTGATTTTTTAACTTTTTTGATTTTTTTTGTGAGAGAATAGTGTAATAATTATGAATTGAATGTAATGTTTTATTTATCAACAATGATTCATCCCCCTTTTCCTCCCACCCCTTTGACCCTCTCTAAAATAGTCTATTTTATTTTTTGTGTGGCTATTTTAGCCCCAAAGTAATGTGGCATACCCTCTTCTTCGCCAGCTTCAACATCTTGTTGGTCACCCAACTCATTTCCATCTTCTTGGCCTTCACGAATGGAATTTATAAAGGGCAATCGCCTTTGTAGTTCCTCAACAACAGGTATAACATTATCATCCAATGGATCTCGAAGCAATACCTATTCAACACATAAAAATTAGTTTCAAAATTTGCTCATCGAGTCTCACCCAGAGGTGTAATCAGTTCAGTTTGGTTGGAGTGGAGGAAAATTTTAATGCGGAACCGAACTCTTCATTTATACTGGTTGAAGAACTGAAATCGATTATATAAAAAAAATTCAGTTTTGTTGATTTTTTGGCTTGGTGTAATGAGTGATTTACAAAAAGTTCTAAGTGATTTTATAAAAATTTGGGAAATACATGTGTATGTCATAATAGGTGAATTTATTATTTAATAGGTCTTATGATAATTAATATTTTTCATCGTACACAATTAAAAAAGTCACTAATTGTTAATTTTTAACGATAGTTTAAAAACCATGACAAAAAATATTACTAATTATAAGTTTTAGCGAATATGCAAAAAATAGTCCAAAAAAAGTTATTAATTTTCAACTTTCAGCGATAGTTTAAAAAATTCATCACAAAAAGAGTCATTAATTGTAAATTTTAGCAACACATCATAGAAAAAAAATCACTAATTGTTAATTTTTAATGACATATACAAAAAATCCTCACAAAAATTATATTTAACGACGATTTTACTAAGATTTATTTTCAATAGAACTTGATGGGAATTAAATCTACCTATTATGATTTATTAGTAATTTATCCTAAAAATTTATAGTGTCACAAATCAATGAATAATTGTATCTTTGACCTTAATTTTTAGGATAAACTGCAAATATTTTTGTTGACATTTATTTAAAATACGGGCTACTTCCTATAATTTTGAAAATTATAAATATTTTCTTATCAGAATTTTTTATTTAAAAGAATTAACAGAAAAAATAACATCTATAACTACAATATTAAAATTATTTGAATTATTAATTAAAATATATCTATGACACAATTTTTTTTTAAAAAAAAGAAAAAGAATTAATTGACTTAATGATTTATTAATAAAAGTGATCACTTGTTATACTATTAAAAATTTTAAAGGGTGTAATATAATTTCTAGAACTATATAGTACAATTTATATTTTAAACAAATCTCAAATAATATATGTGTATTTTACCCTAATTTTTATTGTAAAACGTGTAGCATTAAACAATGGAATGTCACACTCATCTTTTAATACTTAAAAAATTAAAATATGAAAAATGTTTTTATATAATATTTTGGTGGATTCCCTCGGATATTAGAAGTTGTTTGGGGTGTCTTAAATAAGTGTATTTTTTGTCTTTTTGGACTAAAAAATTGAGGAAAAAAATATGGATGTTTGGATTAACTTTTTGACTTTTTATGAAAAAATGTGTATTAAAAAATTAAATAAATTAGTGTGTAGGAAAAAATTAGAATTGAGAGTTGTGCAGCTGTAATTTTTTACTTTTGATAAATAGTGATAATTTTTTAACTTTTTTATAAATTGCCAAACTTAACCTTAGTGTAAAGTTTTTCAACGTTAAAACAGACCTTCCCTTGCGAAAAAACAACCCAAAACTGAAATTTTGATCAGTCTTAAACAGTGAATTTTGTTCCACTAATTTTTTTTAGAGCCCTAATTTAAACTTAAATGTAAGTTGTCTTCCATTTAATCATAATTTTATAACAATAAAAATAAAAATAAAGGTAGCTTGAATAAATTGATAATTTATTTTTAAAAACACAACTATCGTGCATTTTTTTTTTTTGTGACAAATGGATTAAATTGAATATATTACGATTATTAGATTAGCTTAATTTTTTTTTATCTGGACGACATACATGAAATGATAGACAAAATGAACAGTTTGAATTATCATTCCCCCCAGTCCTGATTAGGGGCCGAGAGAACCTGCCAAATAAAATTTAGGACAAATTATATTGGTAATTCATGTATTTTGCCCCTTGTGTCATTCTATAATTCAATTAGCTCAATTTTTATCTCTTAATTTTAGATATTTTGTCAATTTGATCTAACTGATAACATTGATTAAGGTTTTTGAAGGAAAGTGGTCACTAAGTTAGTTGAGATTAACCTATCAAATTGAACAAATTTATAATTTTGTATATAAAAGTGTAACACAAGCCGCTTATGTGCTCATTTTCTATCAAAAAAATACTAATAATTATAATCAATTGAATTAAATTGAAACAAAATTATAAATTTAAAATTAAAATTAAAAAAATCAAAATAATATAAAAATCAAAATATAAGAACTATGGGTCTACTTTGCCCTAAATTTTATGAAAAATCTCAAGGACCAAACTTGCACAGTAGAGTACGCGTCGAAGGCCAGCCCTTTCATTTTCCTTCCAGATAACTTCTTTTTATTCTCAGCTTAAAACTTTTCAACTTCTAGTCAACTTTAGACTTTTTCCACTAAACCATCACCGGCAGCATAAGGAATTGTTTAGACATTGATTTTGTCTAAATAATTTTTACTAAAAAAACTTATGTAAAAATAAAAAGAATAGATTGATTTTTTACAATAATTTTCTGAAAATTGTAGCAAAAACAAATAAAAAATGCTTCAAACCACTAATTGATGACCACTAATAGACCACTAATGATGTGGCGCTAATGTGGATCCACTACTGATGTGATAGTTTGGCCTTTTTTTTTTTTTTCTTGCACTACCAACTCTAATGAGTTGGCATTAGTGGTGCAAATTTAGAGCACTGAATCAGTGCTGAAAACAAATACTTAGAAGTTCTAATTGAGCAACCGTAATCCACTCTTAATCATGTGAAATGGACTCGCTTCTCACTCTTCATCCTTGTTCTTCTCTCTATTCTCTCTCTCTCTTCCATCTCATTAAAAGTTAAAATAAGAATAATATATTAGAGAACCGCACTCCTCATCATTCTTCTTTCTATCTCTTTCTATTGTCTCTCTCTTCCATCTTATTAAAAGTTAAAATTAAATTATATATCAGGGAATATAGCACTCCTCTTTTAACTAATTACGAAACATCTTCCAAGAAACAAAATGTAAATGAATAACAAAAAGAATTAAAGCTTACCTCCTCAGGTGTAATAATCGCCTTTATGTGCTGCGCAGCCCAAAAAAAAAAATATATATATTAGCCAAACAATACCGATCAAATATAAGTGCATCAATGAATCAATATTATAAGATTGACACAAATATATAAATATATAGACAGTGAAAGAAATTTCACCTCCAAATTGAGGACGATAGCTTTTTCACGGGTGAGAATGGTGGAAGGGTAAGACAAGAGAGGATCGAGAATGCGAAGATCGCGAGCATGAATCTGAACTCTGTCCATGATAGCGTACTTATCCACATCCAACACCGTGCTCTTCCCCTCCGCGTCCATTAAAATCCAGCTCCGACAACTCCCCGCTTTCTTCTTCATCTCCGCCTGCGAATCCGCTAGCACCACAATGCTCCTCTCTTTTCCCATCTCTATCTCTAAGCATTCCCAAAATTATATGTATCTATCTACGTAAATATATATCGCATGTAGAGAGACAGTGAAGCACTAGAGAGTGAGAGAAGGGATTTAAGCAGAAAAGGATATGAAGAGGGTTTTTAAATTTTTAAAATAATTTAGTTTGGGATACACGCTTCTTTTTTTTTTTTTACCTTATCGAAAAAAACAATGCTACGTAGATCACAGCATTCACGCGCCTTGGCCTCGAGCAAAGGAAGAAACTCACCGAGATATCCAATAGAGTTCAGTCAGGCCCGTTTGTTTGGGTAATAGCGAGGGATTTGATAATGAGGTGAATTTATTATATGGGGTGTTTGTTTTGAGAGATGGGGAGGTGATTATTAACCCTTGTATTAGTAAAGGTTTTGGAAGGGAGATTGGTAAGGAGGAGGTAGAGATGGTATTAGAAAAATATTGAGAGGATTAGAAATTTTTTTATTTTTTTTATTTTTTATATATTGAATTTTTTTTAAATATTAATGTTTAATTTTTTATTTATTTTATTATTTTTTATATATATAATTTAACAATTGCTTACTATTAATCCCCTTTATTCTATTTCTAAAATCAAACGAGACCTCAAGTGTCACAGAAGACGTCAAATATCAATCAAAGTATAATACTCCCTCCGTCCCAAAATAATGGTCCCTTTTAGGGAATCTAACTTTTTTTGGTAGTACAATTATTGCATTTAAAAAAAGTTGATTTTTCAAAATTATCCTTTTGATAGTACATTTTTTGAGAATATCAATGCATAATTGTACTTTTTATGTTGTTTATTAATTTAAAAGAAGGGTAAAATAGAAAATTTATATTATTTTTGTACTTAATTTTTGAAGAGGGACTAATATTTTGGGACAATAAAAAATGAAATAAGGGACTAATATTTTGGGACGGAGGGAGTATGAGATTTCCAAAGAGAGTCAACTGGACAATACTAGGCTGCCACACCACCCAAGAATTGAAGCTGACATACCCCTCTGAAAATGACTGCCTTTCCCGCAAGGTCACCACCCCCAGTGGATACACGCATGTTTCTAATTGACATAAGAGATAGGAACAGGGAGGGAATTGTTTAAATTGAGGTCAATGTCTGAGGAGGTTAACAATCGACGACCTCTGGTTGGGAAATTATAAAATATTTTTGAAATATCATATATTCTTATATTCTAACTAATCATAATTTACTATATTTTCTTATGTTTGTTATTCACCTAACATAATACTATACTTATCGACTTTCTCCACCAATCATAATATTATGAATTATTAAATGTCTATATTTTGAGATTATTGAATAATTATTCCGTTTGGCGTGGGTTTTTTTATTTTTACTTTTTAAAGATAGTTAGAGGCAGTGAATATGGATTTTTTTTTAAATGAATTATTTTAGTGCAACATTTGTTTAATATGAGGAGAAAATTATTTAAATATGAAGCAAAATATTGGTGAGTAGAGGATTTTTTAGACATTTTTATTATATTTTTAGCTTTTAGTACCAAACAAGACTAATATGTTTTGACTATGAAATATATAAAGGGTAAGTTACACCGACCTTTTTTTGAGATTTAGAAAAAATATATTCAATTTCATATTTTTAATATGAATAATGCTTGGGACCCCCTTTTGAGGGGTCACCCCCTCACCCCATTTGTCACGTGGTGGGTGGTGATTGGAGGAGCAGGAAAAAAAAGAAAAAGAAAATATAACCAATGAGAGAAAGAGGGGGTCAAAGGGGGTGGGAGGAAAAGGGGATGAATCATTGTTGTTTTAATATAATTATATTTGTCTTACTAGATATTTTTTGAAAGTTTATTAGGAAATTCTTTTTTTTTAAAATACTTATATCTCAATTAGTCCATAATATATTCTTATATTCTAATTAATCCTATTATTTGGACACTTAATCTACCAAATCTTAATTCTCATATTTAAGGTAATTTTTGGATAATTTTACCCTTACAATTATTTTTTTTTTGAATAATTAGCAACTTGGGGATATGAATATTCATATTTTATAACGTAAATATTCACATTGACGTGTAAATGTTCACATTGACGGTGTGAACATTCACACCATCAATGTGAATATTATTATTAGAGATATTTTGATAATTATGTCACCCATAAAATTTATTGAAATATAAAAAAATAATAATAATAATAATTTAGACTAAGTGGAACATAAGTAGGTGAAAACGGTTTATGAATAAGTGCCTCATATTTTAATTCACATAATACTTGGATCATTTTTTATCAATAATTCGTGATATGTGTGAATGAAAAAATAATTTGTCATATATATTCTACTAAAATGTAAATTTATCTTTTTTATTTTGTTGTCTATTTGCCATTTGTTTTAGCTTCGATGACATGAGTCAGTGTAATTATATCAAAGTTATAGAACTAATTGTATTTTTCCCAAGACTCAAGTGAGGTGATTGTAACTTATCCACATAAAAAATATAACGTAAATTATAATTTTTACTTTTAAACTTTTAACAAAATTTTACTTTCATGTTTCAATTGTATTACAATAAATCTCACATTTTTAAATGAAATTTAATGTGATCATGTGTGAACTAATACTAATTACTAATACACTAATTAAGGCACAGACATAACGGTTGTGTCTCCATTAATTGAACTTGAGATATGGAGGAAGTACACCCTTAATTTCAAGTTGTGTCCGCTAAGTCAACCTCTTGAGATTATATATATTGTCTTAATATTTTTTCTCATCCAATCAATGAACTAATCACTTACGTTAATTATATCAACTTACATTGCACACGACATTTAACTATTTAAGAAAATGGAATAATATATTATTACATGCATATCACAATTTGATAATCACATGAGGAAAGCACCTTGTTTTGTACAAATACAAGCAGGTAAAACTTACACATTGAAAACTTACATATAAGTGGAGAGAGTACAACCTCTTGATAAGATGTAGAGACTTTTGGCCATCTCTCTCAACCAAACTTAAGATGACATTATTGACAACCCTTCTTTACATTTATAATTATACAAATAATATTTTATAATATTCATAGATAATATTTTATAATATCTTCTTATACATGTTATGTAAAATAAATAAGCACGAAATAAGTTATATAGTTTGCTTATTATTATGCTAACCATGAAGCGCATCATGTTCATTTTGATAATACCTCGTGATCTATAAAGGTTTTTCAACACTTCCTAAATTCATTTAATAACTGTGGTGTTTCTATTTGTATTTCTTGTATTCATTCTCGCATATTGTGTACTTCCAAGTCAAGCTGCCAAGTTTTTCAAAGTGGGTGTTGAGCTAAGCCTCTTCTTTCATTAGGCTGCCCTTGAGGGTATGATATTTCGATATGGCCCGTAATAAGACAAAAGGTCCCTCAGCAGCGGCATTCTTCCTTGACTTTATCCTCTTTTTATTAGAGAATTTCATTTTGCCCCCAAACTATATTTCAATGATTTCAATTTCATTCAGCTTTGACTTTGAATAGATTTCTATAATCTGTGGATAATTTAGATATGATTTTGATGAATGGATTTCTATATTCTCTTAATAGTTTTGAATCTGTTTAAAAACCTAGATATGGATAGTTTTTGGATGATTTAGAACTTAAGGACTTTTTGTGGATCATTCAGACTATTTTGGATAGATTTGAACTTGTGTCATATTTTTTGATGTCTAAAAACATAGTTCTTGGATGGTTTGGAATGTATAGATTGTTTTTGGTTGTTTAGAATGTATGGATATATATATTTTTTTGTTTGATATTTGAAATAATATTTTGGTGGTTGATTGATACTTATGTATATGTTTGTAAAGCTTGTTTAAAATGCTTTCTCAAATTGTACATAACAGGCGAAATAAAACCTGTTGAATTTAAAAACATATATATGCATATTCTACGGCATGTAAAAAATGCTGTGAAACTTGAGTTATCTGCAGCAGACAAAATAGGTTATTGCATTAAATATTCAACAACTAGTAATGAACGTCATGGGTTTTTTCTTGAATTAATGGCGTGCAAAAATAATTGTAGAAAAATCAAACATGCCGCTGTTAACGACGTATGATGGAACGCCGTTGAATCCTACCTACGGCTTGTATTTTAGGTCGTTAAAAAAAATTTAATGGTTTACATGACTTTAACATAATCTGACAACCATTTGTAAAACTATTTGCGTTAAAAGAATAAATTAAACAAATACATTTAGAAATAACCCAGACTGAAGACCTTCAAAAACATGATTTACACTGACCGCATGGTTTACACCGTTAGGTGGAGTTTGGCAATTGTTTTTTTACTTTTTTGCTTTTTTTGAATTTAAAAAAGCTGATGCGTTTGATAATTGCTAATTTTTTTTTTTTTTTTTTTTTTTTTTTTTTTTTTTTTCATGTTCTGACTTTAATTTTTGGCCTGATAAATTACATTTTGTCCTAAACCTGAAACCCTAAAATAAAAATAAATAAATTTTACGAATTAAACCCCAAATCCTAAACTGTAAAATAAAAAAATAAATTTTATCCCTAAACCCTAAATCTTAAACCTTAATCCCTAAACCATAAAATAAAAATAAAAAAATTTAAAAATTAAACCCTAAACCCTAAACCCTAAATTCTAAACCCTAAACCCTAAACCCTAAACTCTAAACCATAAAATAAAAATAAAAATAAAAAAAATTTAAGAATTAAACCCTAAACCCTAAAACAAAAAATAAATAAATTTTAAGAATTAAACGCTAAACCCTAAAATAAAAATAATAAATTTTATCACTAAACCCTAAAATAAAATAATTTTTTTTTAAGAATTAAACCCTAAATCTTAAACCCTAAAATAAAAAAAAAAATTTATCCCTAAAACCTAAAATAAAATTAAAAACAAATTAAGAACTAAATCCTAAACTCTAAACCTTAAAATTAAAAAAAAAACGAATTAAAGTAAAAAAGTGACCAACCAAAAAAAAAAAAAAAAAGAAACAGCATTTGGTTGGTCACTTTTTTACTTTAATTCTTAAAATTTATTTTTTTTATTTTAGGGTTTAGAGTTTACGGTTTAGTTCTTAAATTTTATTTTATTTTAGGGTTTTGGGATAATTTTTTTTTTTATTTTAGGGTTTAGGATTTGGGGTTTAATTCTTAATTTTTTATTTTATTTTAGGGTTTAGGGATAAAATTTATTATTTTTATTTTAGTGTTTAGGGTTTAATTCTTAAAATTTATTTTTTTTTATTTTAGGGTTTAGG